CACTTTGTCTAGAAGGCAGCACCGCAAATCGTGTTTACTTTCTGTCGCCACACAAGCATGGCACATTGTCAGCACGAGGACAGTTAGTATTTCTTCATTGCCTTAATGTTAAAAGTAATTTCTGCCCCGTTGCTGTCATGGTAACGTAACGTTACACCGTGAGTCATGTAACGATCGGCTGTTTGATATTTTCTGTTTATTTAACGGCCACGTTTGAGCGAGAAAACAGCTGAATCTAATTACAGACAATCTGACTGTCTGGACAGTCTGTGAGTCCTTTCAGGTGTTCACTGATGCAGAAATACATTTTATTATCATACTGCATTACTTAATTTTGAAATGAATCCATGTCAGAAACATTTAAAGTTTTAAGTAAAGTAGCCTAATTAATGTCTGTTATTGTTATTATCACAACAGTGACGTGAAAATTTGATTCATTTGCTGTTATTATTCTAATGTGCTTCATCAGGATGATTAAATAAAATAGATTTATTGATTAGACATGTTTTTGATATTTATTTTGGATAAATTGTTATGGTAATCGAGTAATAGGCAACTTTTCTTTCTTTAGAATAACAAAATTAATTATTTATCGACTAATCAAATAATCGATATGTACAGCCCTAAATCAATGTCTTTAGAAGAAAGTGATAGTAACTGCAATGAGCCCAAAAAACTGACATAAATACAGAGGAGTCTGTAGCGTTTCTAGATATGCTGGTTGGATGACTAAACTGCGTAACGCGTTATCATGTGCAGTGGATGAATAGTCTGCCGACACATGACGCACACAGCAGCAGAACAACGTGTAGCGATTTTACAAGAGCAGCAACACTGAGAGCTTCAGTTTACACGCTGTTCGCAAGTCAGAGAGACAAACCAAAGCTAAAGGTTAACTCACCCTGCATTCACTGTAAGGTTATTTTCTTCAATCAAGTTTCCCTCAGCAATCTCATAAAAACTAAAATACGACCGGACTTCAGAGTGACTGAAAAATCTCTGCAGCGTTGTCTTCCGCCATGTTGTCATTGACCCAAACAAACCCACGTTGCATTCTGCGCATTGCGCGCCTGCGTCTGGGAGACGCTGGACAGTGTTTGCTGTGAGATTATAATAGCGTGGTTAACAGTACCCGGTTATCATGGTAATTAAAATGTGTACGGTAATAATAACCGTCGGGAATTTTACCATGGTTTACCGTTAAACCGGTAATCGTTTCATCCCTGCTACCTACCTACCAGCGTGCACTCTGTTTGTGCACTCATTGCACATGAAAAAGGGGAGATCTCTGGCTTTCTCCAGCATTACCTGCCCTAGCTTTAATGATTACTTAAAGCCTTTGACAGTAAACAAGAAACAGTCCAGTGGCATCATTCATCCTCTCCCCTGTCATCCTCCCTCTGCTGCTGATGTGAAGAGACTATCTGCAGGCAGGTACTGCTGGTATAAAGGGGAATAATGGGGTGATTAGAATTTTACTAAGTTTCATTATACGCATAGCTAAATTGTCTCAACAAATACCTGCAATTAGCGTTGTTTTTATCTCGCTCACATCAGTTTTGTATTAGCATAACAAGCTCTGTATGACTGTGTAAAACAAAGTGTGGTTTCAGAGTTGACTGTGGGCCAGTGGTTGAACACCTCACATTTAATTACACTTTTCACAAACTGTACCCCGCTCTCCCTTTATACACGTCATGTTCTGAAATCTACAGCATAACCCAATGTATTATTATATGTAGTTTTCAGCAGTTTTGGAAAAGTCATGGAAATTTATTTCAATAACACTTATCAGTAAAGTGATTTTTTTGAATTTATTTATTTTTTCCTCCAGATTTTCCAACTTTCAATTCACCCACGTGAATCATGCAAATCTGTTTCAAAAAAATAAAAATAAAAGTAGTCATGCTGCTCTGTTCTCTCCTCTGTGTGTTTGACCGGGAGCGGAGCTCAGCTCACACACAGCTGACTTTTGAAGCTAATAGCGATTTGTTAAGAACAAGCTAAAACAAAAGCCGTCAGTATGTTATTTATTTTTACATAGCGCCCATTCATTACAGAAGATATCTAATTGCACTTTTTGAGCAGCTCTAAACCAAAGTCTTTGTAACATTACTGTCAGGTTGCTCTGCAGATGCTTGTTACAATGTTACAAAAACAGCGACAGAAATGCATCGTCTGCAGCTGAAGCAGTGAGACAGAAGATAATAGTGATAATATAAGGAAGGTCCTTAATGTCACTTTTAGACCAAAAAAAAAGTCGGACATGCTACACCAAACTTTTAATGTTGAAGTCATTGTTCTGCATTGATGATGAAGATGATATACTTTATTAATCCCGCAAGGTTTTCTTTGTTTTCACTCTGTAATTATTGTTAGTATTTACACACAAGTCCGCAATACACACACATGCACAAACAGGACTCATAGCAACACACGGAGAGATGTCAGAGCACTCAGTGCGGCGCCCCGAGCACTTAGGGGTTCAGGGGCTTGCTCAAGGCCTCCTTTGGCAGTGCCCAGGAGGTGAACTAGCACCTCTCCAGCTACCAGTTGAAAAATCAATCGCTGATAACCCCTTCAATCGTCGATAGCTGATCCAATCGGCACAAGCCTAATGATATGTATATTTCACGAGCAAGTAGTGTTGTCACGATCCCCAAAATTATGACTTCGATACTATACCTGCCTAAATATCTCTACCGATACTGAAATGATACCACAGCAAAAATCTAAAACATCAGGAAAAGTAATGGAATAATAAATGACAGGACATGAAACTTAAAATTCTGTTTGTGCGGAATTGCCTTAAACCTGCATTCTTTCTAATGGCCAAAAGTGGGCGTCACTGTTGGTTGTAAAAATTAAGTCAGATTACATTGGACGTTTTGGCAAAATTAGCTTTCTTCTCAATTGATTTATTACCTCAGTAAAAATATTCCTAATGAGTTTTATGGTCTCAATTTTCATGCTATATTGTCTTCTTCAATATAGCATGATGATGATTTTGTAAATTATGGTCCCATTTAGAGGAAAATAAACCTTAAAGCAGGGTATGCTATTTTTTTTTTTTTTTTTCAGAACCCAAAATGGGTCACAGGCCCATTTTTATTGGGTTGCCAACTGGCAGAGTAAAATTAACGTTACAATATGTAAATATGTGAATAAATGATCTTTTTCGCTACACTTGTCTGTTTAGCTCAGATTCTGTGAGGTTTTCTCTAACTCTTCTTCCTAACCTTCTGTCCACATTCATACAGAATTTTTATGTCTATAGTCTGTAATGTGTCACTGTCAATCCTATGATGTCTAAATAAAGTTTAAAACCAGTTTATTAATTTTGGCTTCACCAAAGCAATTCAGACTGTGTAATATATCTTGCTTCAATATGACACAACATACTTGTGTGAATCTGGCTTTCCGACTCTAGCATACCTGAATAACCAATTCAGAAACAGACTAAATTCTCAGCATGAGCTCAGATCAGCGCTTTCAAATACTAAATACAGAGTAAAGATCAACTGGTTGAAAACCAGCCACATACTAAAATTTAGGTCATGTCAAAAGACATGCTGGTGATGATGGGAGGGGATAAGAAAATGAGAGTAGAGAAATGGGTGAGACACAGAAAGGAGAATAGACATTTTATATACATGGTTTGTTTTGCCCTTTATCCATAGTTTGTAAATGTACATGTATTTTTGTAAACTTGGGTCCCAGGGAGACACCAGATTTCTCTTGAGCTGAAAAAGTTTGTGAACCAGTGCTTAAGGGCATGGCTATCTTGTGATTTGCTAGTAGCTACAATGGCAGTGTCCAACTTAACATCCGGTCAGAGTTTTACTGGCCCCTTGCATATTTTTACTGGCCCCGGGGGGGGGGAAATGGAGAAAAATAACACTATTACTTTATTAATCGTATATACATTGTAATGATTTATTCAAAAAACAAAGAACTGATTAATTTTCTTATATTTATAACGTTTGAAAGATTTTAGTATACAAATTTTTTTTTATGATTTTCCCTTGAATGTGCTATTTGCTTCTGCATATTTAACACAAAGACAGGGAGGGGCTTGTTGCAGATATTGATTGGCGTTTACAGTAGCCAATGGCGCTGCATGTGTGTTATGCCCCCAATTTGTCTTGCAGACTCTGTGCGGACTGATTCCAGTTCCCAGGGAGAGAAATCTGCGGCCAGACTGAAAGAGGCCCGTCTGACAATAGGGAATATAGTGCCGAGGCGGTTTTCTTCCCTGGTTTGGCTCTTGGCACCCTGGGGCTGTGTCAGCTAGGACTGCTAGCTGACTGGTTAATTGAGCTAACTAGTCACACATTCAGACGCAGTTAGCAGATGTAAAGTTAGCAGTTTTAAAAATTTAATTTATCTCTCCATCAAGAAACTCACCTCGGTTCTATATTCCCCGTATTATGCACATGCATAGTTCCCAGTGATAGTATATTATCTATTAAAATAGATAGTATTTTTGCACTATTAGTTAACTTTTAGAGGATTTAGAAAGCCATTGGAGAAAGTAACATTTTTTTATTGATAAATTTGAAGCTACATGTCAATATTATACTCACAGTTAGGACTGACGGGTAACTCAGTTTTGTTTTTTTCTTGTGGTATCAATTGTTTGACATCCTGATAAACATTCCAGTACAATACGCTGCCATCTTGCAGCCTGTTGGCAAGTGTATTTCCAATTAGGGTGATTGAATTGATTCTGGGATCCGTCTTTGTAAAGGTCCTCTCATTTCTCTGCTGTCATCCACGATATATTCTCTCTCACTCCTTCTCTGTCTCTCTTTTCTTGTCTTTGTCATTCCCTTTCTGTCCGTTCACCTTTGTTTTCTGTCATCGTCTTTCTCTGAACCCAGAGAAGAGGAAAAGGCGCAGTAACTAATGGTGCTCAAAAAGCTGCAGAAAGGGCTGTTTTTGTCTCACTCCTCCAAGCCTGTAATAACCACTTTTGTGTGTGTGCTCTCTGTTTGCAGGAGAAGGGGAAAGCAGAAGGGAACATCGATCAATGTGAGTACACTTACGGTGTTCAAACCAAACAGCATTTTTCAAAATATGCCATGTTGTGCTCACTGACAATCTTTTATTTATTTTTTTTTCTGCTGCTGTTATTCTGGCATACACTTTGGCTTTCTGATTGCTGGGAAATGCTGCTGGGAAGTAATTCAAATCTAAATGGCAACCATAAAATTGACCATGCAGCCCGTTATGGAGAAGACCTCTGATGATGATAGAACTGACAATCTGAAAAATCCCTCTTGTTACTACATTGCATTTATTGCTCTACTGTCCTCGGAGGAAGGGTATGAAAGCATTTCATATATTTAAATTTTGAAATTATTTCAGTTATCAATGGATGTCAAGATATAATCTACCAACCACTCGCGGGACTGTTTACTCAGCTGCATTTGACACCATCTGAAAGAAAATGGTAGTAAAGCTTTTTCATTAATAGTGTGAAACTGAACTGCAGTGTCCACCATCCTCCCCTAACAAAACAGCCACACAAAGTAGAAGCATCTGAAATCACTCACTCCAAGTGACAACCCTTCTCCAAGTTGAAAATTATATTTGTCAGATGAATAATTATTCAGCTGTCAGTCATCTTCAGTCCCCTGTCAGGAATGATTAAGTAATGTTTTTTTGTGTTTGGTCTCATGGACTGTTTTACACTGCAGTAATTGCTCAGACAGTTGATTCTCTGTAAAGATGATCATTCACATTCTTGACTAGGAACCCCAATGTTAGTCTAGCTGTTGAGACTTTTGTAGAGGGAAGGAGCAGGGCATCGAACCACTAACCTGACAATTGACCCTTTGCTAAGCCATGGCTCCCTTTAGACAAACTGTCGGACCTGTCTGACTTTTATCACGCCGCTGCCACACTCTATAACTGCACTCCCTGGAGAAATATTGTCTAATTTTTGAAAAAAATCTCAGAAAGAAGCAGACAGTTTTGCAGTTGCATTGTGCATTTGGAGGTTGTATTCAGGCTGTCAAACTGACGTGAAAAAAATAAAGGCCGAAGCCAAAGTCTACTGATCAGAGTAAAAGTGAACCACTGCATTAACGTTTCCTCTATTGAGAACGAGGATAACGATATTAAGGATCAACACTGTAATAGTGACTAGAGACATGCCCAGCTGTACAGGAACAATCAATAAAAAGCAGAACAGTAGGATATATAAATTACAGTCACTAGTAAGTTAGCTAGCGTTAGCTAACTGTCATTACATTAGAAACAGCAGACAGCCAACATTTTTCTGAATTTTTAGGTTTTGGAAAGAGAATAAATCGTACTTCTCCTTTCAACCTCTCTGGGTAGCAACTGTAACTATTACAGGTGCCCCAGGAAAACCGCAAAATAAAGCTAGAAAACGAATCCTTTTGAAGTTAATGGAGCGCAGCAATGAAAGTGTCAGACATCAGCAGCAGTGATTGGCCAGCTGTGTTTTCAGGGTGTGGCTTAGCGAAGGGACAATTAAGGGCTAATGGCTAAAATCCACTGACTCTGGCTAGGGTGCGTTATGGCTGCGCCGCAGTTGCAGGAGCTAATTGCGGCCATTGTAGTCAATGCTTTTGCGCGTCCCTCATGCGTCCCAGAAGCGGCTCTCTGCTCCACTCCGCAGAGAATACGTAGCAGGTCTATTTTTGCTGCTAGCAGCATCAAGCAGCACAGAGCAGATCGAACCAGGCAGGAAGTCAGACACAGAACGACATAGAGAATCGGTAAATTTTCAAAATAAAACACCCTGTGGAGACTCCCGATCGTAAAACAGCAATAAACACGGTTAAAACAAAAGGACACAAAAGGAAATCATTTAACTATACAGCCTACCTAATAATAGTAGAAGCACAATATGCAAAAACTGATTACCAAATCAACAAAATGTAAACATGTCAGCAAAATCAGGTATGAAAAATGCTCTGATTCTGAAATGCTCCCTGTGGGAAATGCAGCCTGAAGTTGACGGAAAGAAACGGGGTCACATAGAGCAGTGAAGAGGGTAGTAGTAGCACGAAAATGACAAATTAATAACAAGTCCATAATGTGGGGCAGGCTGCATGCTACGCTGCTGAAACGCTTCTCAGACGCTTCCAGTGGACTTCAAAACCGTGGCGCAATCGTAACGTGCCAGAGTCAGTGGATTCCCGGTGTAATCCACTACTCCATCTGAGCTACAGCTGCCACGACCAGAATTATGATACCAGTACCAATACTAAGTTAAATAAATTAGACATTTTGATGCCACTATTCTGCCAAGTAATTTTGATGTTGAAGTTTTGTTTTTTTGTGAGCAACCCTCTACTTTTTTTTTAGTGTATTTAATTTTTTATCAACCAGTGGACTACACTGGAATCAAGTTAGAAATTTGGTGTTCCAACTCCTGCCATGGGTTTGGTTATTTTTATCCATCTCAGCTATAGATTTTAAACCATATAAATGCACTGATAAATATTTTGCTCTGCTGCAGTTCACAGCCAAGAGTCTTTTTGATTTGTTTTCCCTTTCGTGGTTTTATTCGAGTGCCCTGTGTACGTAAATGCCCACTACAAGTGATGATGCACCTGAATTTCAATTCAGGATTAAATGCAATCTTTCACAACAATCCTGATATTGTTGTTAAGGGCAATGGGTGTCAGAAGTTTGATGCAGGTATGTTATTGTAGACAAGATCGTCTCAACTGTTACATTTCATTTCTGGTAACCAAAAATGTTTGTTTTCATATCCTTTTGTTTTTCACTGGTGGCTTTTCCATTTGTTGTGAAAGGTGCTGTCATGTAGCTGCATTGGGAAAACTCATTCTTTACTCCATGTTGTGTATTGCCTAAGCTTTCACATACTTTTTTATTGGCCGGCTGTGTTGTGTATTTTGCTGTATTGTAGTGCATGACAGAGACATTGAGCGGATTGTGTGTAAGTTACTGTAATAGCAATATTTTCAGGGCTGACTGCTTCCTATTGACAAGTGACTTCCTCTGTAAGCATTAGGCCCATTATGATGTGTTGTCTTCATCACCACCGTAAAACACTGTTTCTCTGCTTGCAGTGCAGAGTTCTCTATGCCAGCTTTTACTCAACCTAAACATGACCCAGAGGGTTTCTTTTGTTCAGGTTTATTCAGCATCTAGTGCAGCATGTGTTGTTACCACTGGATGTTTGTTCGCTGATTTCTTTTTTAACATTGTAGTATGTGGAGAAACGTAGCTTCCTATGTGATAATTGCTTTTCTATCTGTGTACTCCTTACCTGCTTCCTAAAGTCTGCTGCAATAACACACACCCTGATGGAAAACACATTGTGAGCTGTTTCTGTGACAGGCGTTTCCGTTACACTCTACCTCTCCTCACAGATGTAGGGGGGGAAAATGCATTGGTGGGGTAGGCTGATGGGGGAAAAAAACAGAAAGGCAGCGCTGCACCGGGAGCAAAATGTGAAAAAATTAATACATTCAGTAAGCTGCAAACATTTTGCAGTAGCTCACTGAATGTGCAGCCACCTTTTGTTGTACAGTAGCATATAGACTTGTTGGCAGAAATCATATGAGGTATGCTGTCACAGGAAGCTGTTGGAAACACCAGAAGAGGAAAACAGTTTGATTGAAGGTCATGGCTTTGGATTTATATACACTGGGCCCATGTAATTTTAATACTTGTCTCAAAAGCTTATGGTTCAAGTGACAAACTAATTCTGTCCTGGATTTGCGCACAATTGCATTGCTCTGCGGTCGACTAAGGTCTTCCTTTGGTTACACTTTTGATTATCCCCATGTCTGCATGGGTTTTCTCCTGTGCTTGAATGTGAAGATTCATCTATGTTGAAACCACTCTGTAAATTAATTTGTCTACTCATGACCATTGAGGGTTTTACTCAAAAAACCTGCCCACAATGAGGTGGAGTTGGTAACGTCCTGATCACATGCACTCACGAAATCAAATCAAATATAACATCACCAATTGTGTTTTCACAGGGACCTAATGTTGTAGTGTAGTCGATATGAATTCCTAGATGTTAATGTTCATCTGCAACTTTACGTAGTGGTCCAAGTAATATTTGTTGGTGCTGAAGCATGTGACCTGGTTAAGACACGGTTAAGCGCCACAAATACTGATATACTGAATATCTTGTAAAACAATTTGATTCTGCTGTCAAAATATTATTTACACACATGGATCTCCTCCTGTTAGGACACTGTTTCCATCTTAATTTAGCCTTATACGTTTAGCATTTCTGGTTTACTGGATCATGTCCTGCTCAGTGAAGTTAGTCAGTTCTCAGAGTGAGTCATTATAATGGACAAGGTGATAACGAGACAAGATTGTGGCTGATGTTCAATTCTTTACATTGCAATGTGTTTGACTGTTAATGACGTGTATAGTAAATGTGTTAGAGGAATTGGCATGGAACAGCAGCTGATGCTTTTTGTCATTCTGTAACTTTGAGATCAGATGGCAAATAAATGAATTTAGGAGCCCCGGACAATAAATCACATAACTGTAATATAACAAACTATAATACAAGTAGGGCTGGGCAATATGGCCAAAAATGTCACGATAAAAAAGTTCCTATCATTTGATATCAACAATTACATGATAAATGTCAAATCATCATTAAGTTTAAAGGCTGATATTGCTCCTGAATGAAAGTTGAAGAAACCAGATGATTAATTGTGGTTTTAAACTTTTCTTTATGGTCAGAACATGACAAACACTTGATGCCAAATCACTTAACAAATCTGAGGTAGAACATTCAAAACAATTATGATAAAATCTTTTACACATATGCATGACTAAAATCTTTTTTTAGCCCCTTTTCCTCAACAAAATAAATATTTTAATAGAAAAATTAAGTGATAATTTGTTTGATTCACATGAATTAAATCAAACATTTATATAACTTGTTATATTGTTATTGAGGAAAATTATATTGTGATAATTATCATTATTGTCTTTTTATCCAGCCTTAAATACAAGTAGTATACATTAGCCATTGTCAGATTGAGAGAATA